CCCAAACCCCAAACCCCAAAACCCCAAAACCCCAAAACCCCAAAACCCCTTAAGCTAAAAATGAAAAGCAAAAATAAAACGAAAATAGCGAATAAAGTTTCAAAATATCACTAGCTAATATTATTATGAGTGATGATATTTATTAATTATAAAAGTAATACCACACTAGTTCAATTCATTTTTTACTTTTCATCATTAGGTCTCCTTCCTTCTCTTGTATTGGCACAGGGACAGCATTAAAAGCAGGAACTATTACATACCCATAGGAGATACTCCAATTTTTTCATCTCTATATCTATTTGTTTTTTAGCTTTTTCGTCTCCTCTATACTTTTACATATACAAATTCTGATAAGATTCTTTGGTGATTGATTATCTTTTACCAGTGATTACGAAGTTATTAATGATCATGAATCCATCTTCTGGACCCAAACTTATTTGATAGACTCCATCAAATCTTGGAGGTAGTGCTTTTAGCTGCTTTTTAGAATCATTGCAATCAGTTAAAGTGATTATATTCTATGCGCATATATTTGCACATTACTTTAAGGGATAAACTGTCTTTTCCTCGTTTAGAGAGGTTTGAGCAACATCTCCAATGCAAAATATATTCTCAAATACAACTTATCTCAGAAGTTCCTAGACTTCTTAGGATTTATCTAAATCTTCTGTATGTTGCATAGTAGTCTTCTTTTGACTAAGTGCAATCAATGACAAATTTGACTCAGGTCTTTGTAGGGGATTTATATTTGTTACCTGCAAATAATCATTGACAAATATTCTTCCCTTTGAATTGACACATTCTGATAATTACCTCATAGGACTGTTTTGCATAAACTAAGTATTGTAAGAGGATCCCTAGCAATATATGACATGCTCAAATTTATGAGTTTGATTAAAATTCTCATCAAAATGAGTATTCATATAAATTTCAACTCCATTTTTAGTCATAAACTATTGCGCGTATTCCTGTGCTTTAGGAACAAAGTTCGGAAGTACTTTCTCTCCATGTCCTACGATTCCTAGTCTTTTTTTCTAAATAATTCCATTCAAGTCAGGCTAGATCTAATTGTTTGCATGAACTAACTCTCCAATGATCTCCACTCCAACTGGTCCAGCCCCTACAACCAAAATGGAATTTGCTCTTTTAATTGCTTCTTATTCCAAAGCTAATCTTGACTTCCGCTCCTCAAGAGACTGTACTTCCAAGAATTTAGTTGGCTATTGATAAGATGAACCAGTACAAATGACAAGAAAATCATAATTTCTATAATCAAATTCACCTGTTTAGACATTTTATAGTAAAATTTGATTCCTCTCAGGATATATTTCCATTAAAGTACCTTGTTAGAACTCTGCTCTTTTGGAATGAGCTCTCATCATTGTCACATAACTTACTGTGATAGAATCTAAATGCTCATCTTTGACCAAGGATCGAGTAGTAGTGCAAATATATTCAAAGTAATCGTTTTTGTCAATGAGAGTGACATCAAAATAATCCCATAATTACTCAGCTAAAGTTAGCCCAGCAAAAGAGCAGCCAACTATAATCACCTTTTTATCATATGCAACTTAGGTTTTACTGCAAGTGCCTCCCATTTTGATTCTGATGTGGATTAATGTTCTATAATTTAAATTTGAATAAATTCATGATTACTCGATAATTAACTTAATTTATTTTAATTATTTGATGCCATGGGGTTTTGGGGTTTTGGGGTTTTGGGG